GATACCCACAGGTATTTGCTCCAAAGTAGCTTTATGGATTGGGACATCGAGGTTTTAACTGGATGACTGTGCAAGTTACTTTCAGCCCCAAAGTACCTTAATCCTATGACTAAATAATAGCCTTCAGGAAGAGGGGAGGTGGCTCTGATACTACCGAGACATTCCTCAAATAGTCCTATGTTCCATCATACTGAAAAATATATCGTTTTGTATAATCTTTTGTAATGACTTCATTAGTTATTATTGTAACTTTTCTGAGAGGACATCCAGAAAATTTTAGTTCATTTAGACACTGCTGTTTGCAAGTTGGATGAATTTCCTGGAGAATATCTTTGTTCTTGTCAGTAATTCTGTAGCTCCTAATTTGAACAAGTGTTTTTTCAATTGGTCATTAAGTCAGGTTGAAATGTTCTACTTAATGGAGCCCTGGTGGCAGATAGGGTTAAGCATTGGGCTGCTAACCTCAAGGTTGGCAGTTTAAACCTACCAGCCACTCTAAGGGAGACAGACAAGTGTGTCTGCTCACATAAACACAGTTTCAGAAATCCTGAGTAATTTTACTCTGTCTTAGAGGACTGGAATTGACTCGATAGCAGAGGGTTTACAGCAGCTTTATTCTGGTTCTGGGCCCTTTAAAGGTATGTGACATCTGGGTAAGGTTAGTGAAGGAATGATGGTAGAGAGCCCACAATGGGCCCTGTATCATGAATGGTTGCCAATCTGGGTGCTGCTGACTACTTCTGACTGAATGCTATCATTCTTCCAGGGAGCACGGTGATGATACAAACTGCGTCACACAGAGGGCACACAGCATTGAGGCCCTTCCCACTCACCCCACTACTACCCTTACCTGCAAAACATAGGCCATATCACCCACAATAAGTGTTAGGGTTTTAGAATTAATTGCTCTCAAGTTTACAAAAATGAAAACATGAATATTTTAAATCTAACAAAATCCAGTGTGATTTGGCTCACCCTGTATGTATGGGGGATGGAGCACAGACTATAAATAAGGACCCAGCCCTATCCTCCATTTTTTGTAGAGCACCTAACCACTATCCCTATCATTCCTTACCCCTAGTCTGGGGGACAGAGGTAGAGGCCTACATGGGTCCCATTATCTGGCTCTGGGCTATCTGGGCAGGAAACTCTGGAGCCCAAAAGGGTGACTGAGAAGTGAATAGGGGGCTCTTCTGCTCCAGGTGGGCTTCCTTGCCCTATGGGGAGAGTCAGAGTGGGGCCCTGGATAGCACAGGGCTCAGGAAAGGGGCCATTGTTGCCCAGAACTAAAGGCAATACTGCTACTTTCTGTGCTAGCCAAAATGATCCTAGTCTTTTGAGCCTCTTTAAAGGCACTGACCATTAAACAGATGATTAAGGTTTTCTGTATCTCTACACAGATATTAGGAGCAGAGTGGCTCCATAGGATAAGCAATGGACTGTAAGCCACAGGGTTGGTGGTTCAAGCTCACCAGTTACTCTGCAGGAGAAAGATGAGGCTTTCTGCTCCCAGTAAGATTTACTGCCTCAGAAACCCTATATAGTGTCACTGTGAGTTGGAAACAACTCCATGGCACTGAACAACAAATACAACAACACATATACTAGATGTGTGTTGAGGAGAAACAGTTGAACACAATACCATTCTCTGTTTAGCAGAAGGAAGTGGAGACATCGCTTCTGAATTAGGAATTGCCTGGAGAATTAGCAAACTTCCTGGCGGCTCCACAGATGAGCACATTTTGGGAAGCTTATCAATTGAAGTCCAAAAAAAAAGGTATGGAACTTGAAGCTTAACAAGTTGACCACACCACAGGCACACCATAGGGCTGACTTCTCTGTAGTGCCAGGTCTGCAGGAGCACTACGGCGACTGTTACTCCAGTCCAGTGGGGGGGTGGGGTGGGGTGTGTGTGTGTGTGTAATGTGAAGACTGTGCAGGAGCTTATTCACAGCAGCTTGTGAACAGTGTAGGTCATTGGCCTGCTTCACCTCTTGGCCCCACCTGCCTCTTGCCCACTGCCCCAGAAACTTCCCACTTAGTGGAAGAATTTTCAGTAAGCCTAAATTTCAGTCATGATTTCTGGTGTTTAGGTCATTTCCTTTTCAAATCCCATCTCTCTTGCTTTGTGATGTCACTCTGACTAGAAGTAGAACAAACCCACATCAGGTAGAAATGCAAATGGTACCCTTCGTTACTCAAAGTCTAGCCCTGCAGACCCTGGAAAACAGCTCCATCCTTAATAGCCTTCAAGGCAGAAAAGTTTCTGGAGAAAAACACTATTAAGTAAAGGTTTCTTGGAAGTGTTCATGAGGTTTTTACTTCCATCCGCCCTGTTGCTGCACCAAAACCAAGCCTCAAATCTTACCTTATGTGACAAGTAAACTGACCAAACACAAAGATTATGTGGTCTGGATGTTGGCACTCTTAATTTGTTCACTAGGTTGCAATTTTCTTGATGGCAGTTGCTAGTTTTCAACTTTTTCAAGATTTAAGGAAGCAGACCTGAATAATGGTGTCTCCTCAGGTTCCTGAGTACGTGCTACAAGAATGGTGATGCGGAACATCCAAGACCCTATGCAGAGGGAGCAGGAAATTCTAACAGATTCTTTGTGTTATTATTATAGAACTAGCTTCCAGAGGGCCTCCCTGGACTTCAGATTCATTATTTAAAATAATAATACATGAAATGTAACAGTCATAGGCTTTTAATTTAATTTTTTCAGATAGCTTTATATGGTATCCTCTTATAATGTAGATTGAAGAAAGCTGATCCACGTGCTGCCCTGCCACCTGCACCATTTTAAAGACCATTTTGTTGTTGTGCTAAGTGCTGTAGAGTTGATTCCGACCCATAGCGACCTTGTATAGGGTTGCCGAGGAGCTGCTGATGAGCTTGAACTGCCGACCTTGCAGTGCAAATGGCTTTGCAGTCTGGCGCATTAACCTACAGTGCCACACCAAGTCTCCAAGACCACTTTAGGTGCAATCAAAATGATGTACAAAGACATGCTTTAAGGTGTTAAAAGATTTTGCTCTTTCTCCAAATGATGCAAAATTCCTACTCTATTGGATACACACTGCAATTGAGTTGATCCCAGCTCACAATGACCCTATATAAGGTTTACAAGGTTGGATATCTTGCTGTTAGCAGCCCAATGACTAGCTCACAAGGACAGTAACTATATAACCTAGTCAGACAAGAAGGAAAGATGAAAAAGAAGCCAGGTGAAATGAGGGCAAAATATATTAATTGTGTGTCTTGGTGTAGAAATTAAATTCAAACAGGATCTCTACTTCTAACAAATTTCTAGTCACTACATAAGGCACATTAACACAGATAGTCCAACCATAAAACATACCCTGTTATACATGATTCATTTTCATTCGCTGACTCTCTAGACTGGCAAGACTTTCTCTTCTTGATTTTAGGTGTAAAGTAACTCATCTCAGTTACTTAGAATCATGTCATCATCAAATATTAAGGCTCAATGGAATCTTAAAGTTCTAGTTTAAATCTCTCATTTTGACTTGAAGAATTTTATGCTTTGTCCAATACACACAGCTAGTTAGTGGCAAGATCTACAGTAAAACAGTGTTCCTTAACTGCTGGCATTATTATAATGACTTTTTAAATCAAAAGGCTTAACTTTGTATTCTCTGTAGAAGTAGGAAGAGATTTATTTTGAACTACTTTAAAGAACTTAGATAAAATGGAATGTTAACATGGTGAATAAAAATACATCCTAACATAGAACCTGGTCCTTTTGAAGGCCAAGGGGATCATAGATTTAGGTCACCACCACTAGAGGGCACTCAGTTCCCCAACTAATTTAAAAAAGGTTTCCAAATAAAACCTGCAAATGAATTTCATTGACACTGATGTTTCTTATCAGTATTTATAGGTAAAAATTAAGTGGCTGCCAATAGACTAGCATTGGATATAGGTGTGTAATTTACATTCTTTGAGTGGCACAATCGGTTAAACACTCAGTTTATGACCTGAAAGATTGTTGGTTCAAAACTACCCAGCGGTGGCTCAGAAAAGCTGTCTTGTTATAGTTGATGAAAACACATGGAGCACAGTTCTACTCTGCACACTTTGGGTTGCCATGAGTTGGTATTACCTAAGTGGTAACTAGTTCAGTGCTGTCGAGTCATGTTCCGACTCAGAACAACCCTGTGTAAGTTTTCCAAGGAGCAGCTGGTGGGTCTGAACTGCCTACAGTGCAGTGCTGATCCTACAGTACCATGCCAGGTTCAAGCCTTATGTGTTCCTAAAGGGCTCTTTTATTATTGCTTTCAAGCAGTATACAGAGTTTGACGTAAAAATTAACTTTAAAAACATTAACTTGCCTTCAGAGCTCAAAAAGATTGGTGGGTTCCTGCCAATATCCACCAGCCTGTAGCACTGTAAGCAGATAAATGCTTGTTGTCAGGCTCCTTGGATACTCTGATTTAATAGGGAGAAGGAGAAGAAAAGCAGAGCTTTATCTGGTAGAAAAAGAACTCTTCAACTCTCCAGTTTATCATCCCTGCAGCCCTCATTCTGATCATAAGGGGATTTCTCAAGATTTATGCTTGCACCATAAAAATTCAGTCTCTATAAATGAAACACACTTTCTGGCTGTGTTATTTAAATTCTGAAAAGAGCCTAAAAGAAGAACCTTTTCTATATGATTAAAAGAAGTTAATATGTAAGTTATTACCTATCACCCTAGTCCTGTCTGGGGAAGGAAAACAAAAATCTTAATAAGAATTGCTTTTTTTTTTTTTTTTTTTTAAAAAAGGTGTGTGTGTGTGTGTGTGTGTGTGTGTGTGTGTGTGTATACATATACACACAGCACCTGTACCTGGCTGTCTTGTTTACAGTTGCTAATTATTGACATTCTGGATCCTGCTAAATCGTTTTCTTGCCACGTGGCACTTACCTAATCAGGACTAGAGTGTGCTTTGCACAGTGTCATGAAAAACTTGGCGCACCATATTAAAAAGGATACATCTAATTCACTCTGAAAAAGAGGAAAAGAGTGCAGAAAGTTAGAACAAGACACTGGAACACAGTATTTAGCATATTTAAGGACTGCTCAGGCCTCTAAACTGGGAAGCAGGTAGTAGAGGCTGCTTTGTAGTTAGAAGATTGTGAGCTGGAAGACCCTGATTCTGAGGCACGATGGGGTTATATAACACTGTAGTTTAGAGGAGGAATTTGATAAGCTACATAATTTATCTTTAGAAACTAGAGGGAATCAGCTAAATTAACCTTAACTAATTCTACTCTGTCCCATGTGGTTGCTGATTCAGAATTGATTCCGTGGCAAACAACACTAAAAACTTCAAAAGTGTGCATAGCCTTTGGATCCATTCATTTTGTTGTTGTTGTTAAGTGCCATTGAGTCGATTCCAACCCATAGCCACCCTGTACAGGGCTTCCAAGGCTGTAAATCTTGACGGGAGCAGAAAGCCTCATCTTTCTCCCGTGGAGCAGCTGGTAGTTTTGAACTGCTGACCTTAAGGTTCGCAGCCCGATTCGTAACCACTATGCTACCAGAGCTCCATTCATTTTACTTATAAAAATTTATCCTAAGGAAATAATTAGACAACAGCACAATGATATGTGGCACATTAATATGTTCTGGATGTTTCTGTTGTTGCTACATGTCGTTAAGACTGTTTCAACTCATAATGACTCTGCATAGGGTTTCTGAGGAACAGCTGGTGGGTTTGAACTGCTGACCTTGTGGTTTGCAGTCCAGTGCTGATTCTACAGTGCCACCACGAGTCCATGTTCAGGATAGTGTTGTTTAAAATAGGAAATGATGGATAACAACCTAAGTGTCTGTCAAGAGGGACTACTTAAATAAAGCATATCCATAAACGATGATGTAAATATATAAAAGGGGGCTTCAAAAAGTTCATAGAAAAATTCCATTATCTTTGAATTTCTTCTTTCCATGAACTTTTTGAAGCTGCCACGTTATTAAAATACCATAATATGGCATATAAATATTATGCAATATATATGTATATATACAGAGTGATTTATACAGATATGCAGAGATAGAGACATATTTTATAAAGTCTAAAAGGTAATATGCCTTAAAGAAAAAAAAAAAAAACCAAAGCAATATGCCTAATAGTGATAAGCTTTCAGGAGATTTTCTTCCTTATCTTTTTGATTATAAATCAACTATCCTCAAGTTGATTTGACTCATAGTGACATCATGTAGGGGTTCTGAGATTAAATCTATACAGGAGCAGAAAGCCTCATCTTTCTCCCACAGAGCATTTGGTGGATTTGAACCACCAACCTTGCAGTTAGCAGCCTAATCATAGGACCGACAGTGATCCTTAATACACATGTATTTTACTTTTTTTTTCAATAAACATGTATATATGTGTAATGAAAATTCCAGAGAGGGAAAAAAAAAGAATACAGAATAAATTCATATTGCAGGAAGACTCATTAACAACCTGTTATATGCAGGTGACACAACCTAACTTGCTGAAAACAAAGAGGTCACCAAATACTTACTGATGAAGATTACAGCCTTCTGTATGGATTGCACTTCAATGTAAAGAAAATAAAAATCCTCACAAGTGGACCACTAAATAATATCATGATAAATGGAGAAAAGACTGAAGTTGTCAAAGACTTCATTTTGCTTGAATCAACAATCAACAGTCATGGAAGTAGCAGTAAGAAATCAGACAATATATTGCATTAAGCAATCTGTTGTAAAAGACCTCTTTAACGTGTTCAAGAGCAAAGATATCACTTTGAGGACTAATGTGTGCCTGACCCAAGCCATGGTATTTTCAGTCAACTCATATGCATGTGAACGTTGGACAATACATAAGGAAGACTGTGGAAAAATTGAAGCATTTGGAAATAATGGTGTTGAAGAAGAATATTGAAAGTACTATGGACTGCCAGAAGAACAAACAAATCTGTCTTAGAAGAAATACAGCCAGAATGTTCCTTAGAAGTGAGACTGACCAAGCTTTGTCTCTCATACTTTGGACATGCTGCAGTTAAGTACCACTCCATGGAGAATCTCGGACATCATGCTTGGTAAAGTGGAGGATCAAGAAAATAGAGGGAAAAAAAAAGAAACTAGAGGAAGACCCTCAATGAGATGGGTTGAAAAAGTAGCAACAGCAATGGACTGAAACATAACAACAATTGTGAGGATGGCACAGGACTGGACAGTGTTCTGGTGTGCATAGGGTGGCTATGAGTCAAAACCGACTCAACAGCCACGAACCACAACAAATCATAAAGAAGTTTGTAAAAGCTCCAAAAACCCTGATACCATTTCCTTACTAGCACCATCCCTCCTAGCCCTCACTGTCTTCTCTGACGCTAACTGGGTTAGTATTTTGTTTTCAAAAAATGATGCTGAGCTTCTTCTCTCAGCCCAGACAGCATGAAACTAAACTCCAAATTTAAGATTCAGAAACTCTCTAAGCTGAAAAATAACCTCAGAAAAAATGGTTACAATTCACAAACCTAAAAATAATTCTTAGATGACAAGTTATTCTCTGGGAGTGGGACAGATCCTACGTTCATTCCCATAGTACTCCTTTGCACAAGCAGGGCTTCCAACTAAAACGTCTGATGCCATGATGAGTCAACCATTGCTTTTTTACCACCCTACTGTAAATCCAGGACCCCTGGTGGTAGAGTCATTAGTTGCAACTCTGAGGGAGAAAAGACATGGTGATCTGCTATCATAAAGATTTCAGCCTAGGAAACCCTATGGAGCAGGTCTACTGTGTCCTGTGACAGACATGAGAAGGAATTTACACACGGGCACGCAACATCAACTGTACTCCTTTCTCTCTCCTTCTTTCTGCCACTTCCATCCTAAACTGGGTCATCCCTTACTTCTGCATAATCACCTGGTTTAAATGAAAATTTAAGCTTTACTTCTGTGGTTTATGTGGTCACTGACTCTCTCTCTGGAATTACAGCCATGATTCAGCAAACTGCTATTTATTCTGTTACTGAATACAATAATAATAATTTTTAAAAAAACAAACACACACACAAAACTTAGCAATGATAGTGCTGGTACCTGCTTTTTATTCTTCCAATTTTAAAACATTGTTATTTTGGGAAACTATATTCCGAGGCTGTGATTCTTTCAGAAAGCAGAAAGTCTCACTAGTGACTACCATATTGGACAGCAGATACAGAACATTTCTATTGCTACAGAAAATTCTGTTAAGACAGTGATGGGCTGTCTCAGGGCATTCAATATAAAGATGAAATTTAAAGTAAGTTTCAATACTCCCAATCCCTCAAGGCAATCTCTGGAATGGTTCACCCTTTTTGCCTTCTTCCAGCTTTGGAGGTAACCAGTCCTTCAATAACTATATGCACTGCTATGCTTCAGGTCACTAAGCAGCTTCCTAGCTCCAATCCCTGACTTAGGAAATACCTGACAGGAAACCTCATGTACTAAGGCAGTTCTCAAACTTACACAAGCAGCAGAATCACCTAGATGATTTATTAAAATACAGATTGATAGACCTCTAAACAAAGTTTCAGATTCAGCAGTCTGGGGGTTGGACCTAGAATTTGCATTTCCAACGAGTTTCCAGGTCTGGGAGCCACACTGTGAAACTGCTGCACTAAGACAATGAAGACAGGCACAAGATGAAAGAGTCTGGCAAACTTCATTTATGCCATCAGAAGTAGGGCTGAAGATATAAAATGATTTCTTAATAAGAATTTTTCATTTAGCAGACTTTATTGCATTTAGTATTACTAGCTATGGAGCTGAATCCACTCACTGTTTCAGGAAGAAGAAGCTTAGAAACGGTTCCTTCCTAATTCTTCTATTTAAAACCAAAATAAATAAAGAAAACAATTTGGGGAAGTCAATTTGTGCCACTGTTACTTGTCAGGAATGTACAACCAAAGCTTAGAAGAACTATGGTGCTAAAGAAAAATACCTTCACTTGGATTTCAAAGTTACTAAGTAATCAAGACTTGATGGCACTTCACAACAACAACAAAAAATAATCAAGAAAGTATAGTACTGAGAAGAACAAACAAGATGGTGGATCGGGTAGAAGTGCAGTGAAGAGCTCTGTCAGCAACAACACAAAATACCAGAACAAGCAGGCTCAGGGGATGGTGCCAGAATTCTGAACCACATATAAAGGAATATTTAGAAGGTTGGAAGGCTTACAACTATGGAAATTTGTAACAGAAGCAAGGAATTCAGTGCTTTCTAATTAGAGATGCTCAGCTGCTCCCAGAGCCACCATCTTGGATCAGAGTAGGCATGGACACCTGACAGAACAGCAGAGATAAAGATTTGGACAGGACATTCTTTTTTTATTTTTTATTTTTCTATCTGTTCATTGTATTCTCGCTGTTTGTGCACCTCCATTCTGGTGACTGGGGAGGAGGGGCTGAGAGAGTAGACACCCCACCCCCATGCCACCCCCAGAGGATTCTACTATGCATGCGCACAGATCTCCTCAAAATTAAAAGTGACAGTGCAAAATGGCCACACCTGGCCCTGAAGTGTCTATCACTAGGAAAAAGGCCTGAACTAGGGTTGTGGAGAGGGACAGGCAGACTAACAAGAAAATATCCCGAAAATAAAACCCTGAGTTACATCACAATGACCAACAGTGGCATTGAAATTTCTCAATAAGAAAAGTGAAAAGGAAAGCCCATTTCCTGATCACATCTACCTGGAGGAAATCAGAAAGCATAAGAAATACCAAAATACACACCCATCTAACTATTAAGGCCACAGATAACTCCTGAATATACCCAAAACACAGAAACAGATGACCATATCTGCACATGTCCAGAAACGAGATAAAGTACTGAGGCAAATGAGCAGGAAGTAGACCTACACTCTATACTGGAAGGAGGGCAGGCTTTGGAAATGCTTGAGAAGGAATTCAGAAAAATGATTATAAAATGTATCAAAACACTATGCAATGGAGTTGAGAAAAAAATAAGTCAGGACAGCACTACAGG